ACTTACGGAGAGGCTAATAAAATAATGCAAAGTGCAAAAAATGCCTATGAGGGAATGGAATAGTAATTCGTCCAAATTAAAGGACAAAATAAGTAAAGATTACCCTGGAGATGAAGTGCCAAAATGTAGTAATGTATTGGGATTAACTTGAGATACTCATAGAGATTTGTTAATGTTAAAACCTAATAATTACAGTATGCCCAATAAATTAACTAAGAGAGTCTTGCTTGCTGAAGTTTCCAAATGTTTTGATCCACTAGGTTTAGTGTGACCCCTTACTATAAGAGGGAAATTATTAATACAGGAATTATGGAAACTTAATGTGCCTGGGATGAAATTCTACCTGAGGAATTCATTAACAGGTGGGATGAATTAATTGGTGATTATGAAAAAATTCCAATGTTGGAGTTCCCACGCCAGGCGGCCGATCCAAATGGGAAAAATGTACTCCACATTTTTTGTGATGCTTCAAAATTGGTCCCCTCAAGGAAGGTTCCTTGATGTTGGTGAGGGGCTCTTGATTTAGGGAATTGGATCTGTGCTCCAGTTCCCCGAATTAAGCCTGAATGGCTTCCACATTCCCCCCCAGGCGCTGTATAATCCTCCGGGTTTAGCGCTTCCCCCTTGATTATAATAATAATAATAATTCAAAATTGGCATTTGGAGCAGTTGCTTACCTTCAATGTAATAGTGTTATCTCTCTTGTTATGTATAAGGCTAAAGTGTCTCCAATTAAATCACGTACCTTGCCTCAGTTAGAATTAACAGCCATTTATGTAGGTGTCAAATTAGCAAATTATATAAGAAATAAGTTGCATGAGATAAATATTAGCGACACTGTAATTTGGTCTGATAATGAGGTATCCTTACAATGGATTTGTAATGGAAACAGTAAAATTGTGTACGTACAAAACAGAGTCACTGAAATTAATCAGATGCAAGAGAAGTATAATAGTTTGGGTCAGCATGTGTTAACATTTAATCATATACCTGGTGAGGAGAATCCAGCTGATTTCTTGTCTCGAGGTTTACCTTATGCTAAATTTGTAAATGCTGTATCATGGTTTAAAGGACCGAGCTGGTTGGAAAAAAAAAGCTAATTGGCCTGTACAAAAGATATATATTGCTCCTGTTGAAATTACTGTGACCACCGCTCCAATAGTTTGTCCTTCCTTAGCCATTGATATAAATAGGTATTCTTGTTGATGTTTAAATTTCTAAACAAGATGAGTATCTCATATAAGTTTTCACATCCTCTTGAATACTGGATAAAGAGGGTACAGGAAGAAATCTATGGAAATGAGATTAAATTGATGATGGAAAGAAAAATTGTGAAAGGTTCCATAATAGAGAAATTGGGGCTGTATTTAGAGAACAATGTAATTAGGTGCAGAGGTAGGTTACAAAATGCTGAATTGGGTGATTATGCTAAACACCCTATCTTACTGCCCAAAACTCATCATCTAACAAATTTAATTGTTCTAAATGCCCATAAAAATGTAATGCATGGTGGGGTACAAGATACCTTGTGGATTCCACAAGGACGGCAAAGTGTAAAAAGGGTGATTAAATCTTGTGTAATATGTCACCGTGTGGATGCCAGATCCTATATATACATAGGCCCTCCACCATTGCCAAATGAGCAATTTGAGTTGTTTAGCAACAAACTCCGCCCGGCCGCAGTGTGAAAAATACTGTATATTTTCTGGAAATTCGGTAATTTATAGGTAAATAGATGGCCTATGTTGTATTTAATAAAAATTATGTTATAAAAAATGGGAATTTCTGCGCCTGCGCAGAGGAGACTTGCCATGTTTGAACTAGTTAACACAAACGTTAGTGAATAATCGGAAGAATTTTCGTGCACTAGAGGTTAAATTGGGCTGACACCTCTCAAATAGGAGCCGAAATTGTTGGATGTGCATTCCTGCGTAACTTGAGATATCAGACGACTGGACAAGACAGCTCCAGGAACCTCAGATAAGCTATCTAAATTTGTGTTATAATTCTGGCCAGCATTATTTTCATAAATTTAGTTAGAATGAGGTTTTTGAGTATGATACAAATTAATCTCCAGTCAAATTGGCGAGTGATATTAAGATATATTCTCCTTCTGTTATATAAATGTGTATAAGTATCATTAATTTTAATATACAGTCCACCAATTTTTATATTTACCAGAATTCCTGGTGTGTATGTACATTTCATTTATAATTATAGGTCTAGAGCAACTTGTGGACATGACAGTTGTAGGTATCGAAGGGGGACATTTTTGTGACCTATGTGTCCCAAATTCCTACTTGTCTAAGTAACTTTGATAAATAATAATTATCTGTGTTACCATTTACTGGTATGTACCTTATGAATTACATCCAGATAAATGCAATTTTCCACAAACACGTTATTAGAAGACAGGGATACTTACGTACCCCTCAATAAGAACCCTTTGGACAAGGTTAATAATAAATTTAATAAACAACTTAGAACTTTACTGAAAGGTAATCAGGAGTTAATTAAACAGTTGGAAAAGCTGGCTGGAAAACCCAGGTTTTCCAGCCAAGTCTATAATTAGTTCAGTACGATCGGCATCATATGCCTTATCAAAATAGTTGGTAAAAATATTAACTCCATTGCTTGGCAACATTTCTGAAGCCCATTTAAAAAAAATGTTGATCTCATCGACGAATTGCAAAATATCAACATGTCTAATGATTTTACGCTTGTTAGTTTCGATGTCACTACCTTGTTCACAAGAGTCCTTGTTCCCGACTTGCTATCTTATTTGGAAGAAGAATTAAATGAGTTCTCTTTGCCTTTTGATAAAAATACCATTACTGAATTGATTAGGATTTGTGTAGTTGATTGAAAATTTTAGTTTGAGGGGAAATACTATGCTCAAAAACAAAGAATGGCGATGGGTAATCCATTATCCCCATTTTTGAGCAATCTTTATATGGAATTTATCGAGGCTAGACTGTTGAACGATATCCTGCCATGTAGAGCTAAATGATTCAGATATGTGGACGACATCTTGTGTCTTTGGTCAAATGATATGGCCCTGGAAACGATTTTACCAAGAATTAACGCTTTACTCCTGTCTCTTAAATTCACCGTGGAGAAAGAGATGGGCTGTAAACTTCCATTCTTAGATGTGTTGATACACTGGGTTGATAGAAAGTTTAAGTTTACAATATATAGGAAGGCCACGAATGTGTGCTTATACATTCACTACTGTTCCAACCATGAGACTAAAGTCAAAAGGAGTGTATTTCTGACTATGTTTTTGAGAGCCTATAGAGTGTGCAGTCCGGAGTTCCTAGATGAAGAAATTAAGAAAATATTTGACATTGGCATGAAACTGCGGTATCCTAAGGTGTTTGTGGAATCTGCCTTGCTGGCAGCTAAGAAAACTTATTGTAGAACAGAACCTAAGGTAACACCTCAGAGTAAGAATGTGCTGGTCCTCCCATATAACGAGAATTTATCTATCCTGTCAAATGCTCTTAGAAGATTAAATATTCAAGTAGTATTTAAAAATTCACGGACTGTTAGAAGCATCCTGATGAAGAATGCATCCCAACAACGTGTCGGTGGTATCTACAAAGATGGTTGCAATGGCTGCAGCCTCTCCTATCTAGGACAAACTGGAAAGTCATTGGAGGTGAGAATGTCCCAACACCGTTATTCGATACGTATAGCACAGGAGTCAAACGCGATTTTTCAACCATATTAAAGCCTGTAATAACCCAGCAAACTGCCAGGAAGCAAGAGTCATCTTCCGTTATTCCTCTTGGCTTGAAAGAAATATTGTGGAATCGGCAGTTATTAAGCATGGTAGGTAGTCATTATACAATATCAGTGACGGACTGTTCATATTAGATGCTTTTTTAGTTGAGGCAATAGTATACTGTTTAAAATGGGGCTCTTGTACGTATGCAACAGACTATCTTAAATGTGGTGCCACATCGGGCAATTAGGGCCTTTTTTCCTGCAGTTTCTGAAGGATGAACCTGAGTTTGCCTCAGAATTAGGTGGGATGAATATCGGTGGTCATCTTGTTATTGCAAATGTCTCCCCTCCCGTTAAAAGAATTTATGTTCATGAGCCCCATTTCCTTTACATAACTTTTAGAAGTCTCCCCTCTGTATGTTAGGGTTTTCTCTCGTCATTTAAAGGACACGTTGTCCTGTGGAGGGTACAATATAATTGCCAGTGACTCCTATGTCACAAATAATATTTATATACGTATTTAAAGTTATTCTTGTTATAGCGGAATATGACTGAATTTATTATTATTGTTACGTTAATTACGTTTAGGTTACAATATCAATCCATACCACGGGTGGAAATAGAACCCGCGGTCAGAGAGTCTCAAAACTCCAGACCGTAGCGATTAGCCACTTTGGGCCAGCTAGCCACAATAAGATTCGTCCAACTAGGTATATTTCTACACCATAGGAAGGTTAGCATAGGCACCACTGTGACCACAAATGCAAGTTTTTACAGACGAATCTCCAGCTAGCGTGGCCGTGACGAACTCTAGCTCAAGTCCCCTAAAAGCCGTCAACATGGCTCACGAAATCGTGTCATTACGATTTCGTTAGTCATGTTTACAATATCAATGCTTGTGGGATTTTTCTAATGCTATAATATTCATCCTTCTGGCTATTGTGCCTGTGGGCACTTCGGTTCCTTCTCTTCTCTCCCTCTCTCACTCCAGTGAAGCGGTCCTCTGGAACGTATTCGCGTGGAAACCCCCCTCTTTCCTGCAATTTTGCAAGCTCCTGATGATGTCTTGATTGCAAAACGAAAGGCGTAGAGCTATCATTCTACTCCCCCGCGGTTGTTTTGCATGCATATAATACTATATATATATATAATATATATATATATATATATATATATATATATATATATATATATATATATATATATAAACAAACATTGTAACCCAAGAACAGTTATGTCTTAAACCACTTAATGAGAAACTCGTCTTTCAGGTGGAGTTCAGATTATGGCTGATACCTTCGGCTAACTTCTTCAGCTCCTTGAGGACTCACGAGGCAGTCTTCAACATGACAGCCAACGTGACCACCACCTCGGGAGTGACCAACCCAGCTGCGGCTCACACCACCTTCCAAATCCCGATCACAGTGACGCCATCGTTGGATTTAACGAAGTATGGAACTACTTAGCTGGGTTTAGGAAAGAGCGGCATTATTATTATTATCTTCATAATCATTATCATCATTATAAATAATTTCCGTCGTCATCGTCACTGCTGATGTTAGTAGAAGTGGTAGTATTTTCATAGGGAAGCACTAAACCCGTAGGAGTTAGAAAAGCTACTACTACTGCTAGTACTACTAATACTTATTACTACTACTACTGTAACAAGTACTACTACTAATAATAATAATATTTTTATTATAATAATAATTACAATAATAATAATAATAATAATAATAATAATAATAATAATAATAATAATAATAATAATAATAATGACTGATTAATAATAATAGTAATAATAATAATAATAATAATAATAATAATAATAATAATAATAATAATAATAATGACTGATTAATAATAATAATAATAATAATAATAATGACTGATTAATAATAATAATAATTAAAAAATAATAATAATAATTACAATGATTAACAAATAATGATAATAAGTGTATACACCCACCAGAGAAGCTTCAGTACCTGGTGTAGTAGAGTACAACAACTCGATCTACTTCAAGACTCCATCAGAGGCTACGTCTGAAGAAGAACTGGGAAACGAGATCAAACACAAGTTCAAGATCTTCAACGGCAACAAGTTCTCTATTTACGCAACAGAGGTCACCTTAATGTGGCCACTCAAAATTGACGGTAAGGAATAAAAAAAAATAAAAATGTCGTACTACCTTTGCTGGAACAGTTCACGAATGGTCATTACCTGCAGCGACTATGACCTGACAATGGTCCTTCCCGAGCCGTTCTCAAGTCATAACAGCTAGAGGTGGATCGCAATGTCGTGATAGGTTTCCTCTTTAGATAGATGCGGATTATTTGTGAATTGATGTTAATGTTTGAAGCTTCTGAACTACATGAGACTTGAACATTTGCATAGCTGAGAGGTTAAAAATACTGTTGCTACGTATTTCTAAACTCCTGGATTGTTTCCTTCTAGGAATGTATCTCCTTTACCCGATGGGATACCCAAGTATCACTGGGGTCCGTCCTGAATACTGCGTCTTTACTGGGGAGGAGCTCAAATTTATGGAAAGCTCGTCTGATAAAGGTTATCAAGAAAGACTAGACACAAGAACTCTTACAATGCTTGACAAGTAAGTGTTGCTTCACAGTGCAAGTTTTGAAGTGACTTCTGAAGAAACTTTTCCACTGCACTCAAATAAATATCACTAAGTTCACCCACTTAATTGTCAGTTGAGTGCATGATTTCACTTTTTTATTAATTAGACCGACGAACTAAAAATATTTCCCAAACATCTTTTATTTTTTTTCAAGTCAACATAATTGCCCCTCGCTCGATTACTCTCATCATTCACCTACCCAGTTTATAAGCAGGAGTCAGCCACATCACACACGTGGAGCTTACGATCATGGACACAGGGTCGGGTTAACTGAAGCTTCCATTCGTGTGTCTATATCTCCAAGATATGCTGGAATTAGAATAGCCACCATTATGAAGGTCGAGATAGGGCGGCCTTGTTTACATACTGGCCGTGTCTGGATACCCCCACACTTTTTTTTACGAACTGAGAGCTCATACACAGTAACACACGTTGGAGTTCATTGACTTGGTGTACATGAAATTAAGCACGCCATTATAACTGGCTAAAATAGGTGTACAATAATCCATTTGCATGGTGTTGTCCTTAGCGTTGAGTCTCTGAGCTCTGTGGTACCCCAACCAGCATGGTGCCCCAGAAGAGCGCAAGGCACTCAGAGGCTGGATTAGAGGTGCATCCCCTTCTAGTCTGGACCAATGGCTGAGTCTGTGAGCAAAGAGATAGGAACTGGGCGAGGGGCAAATAGTCCTACAAAGAACCATTCCCATAACTTTTAGCTGTTTCCAATGAACCATGATAATGAAAAACATGACAATGTTGCTACATGTTGCTTCATAACAACCATGACAATGTTTAGGTTGCTTTATAGCACTCAGCTGAGTTCACTAAATGTCTTGCGGCCTCTCAGTCGAAACTCGTTTGACGGAAGAGATGGAGAATTAAAACTTGAATTCCAAAGTGTCTTCTGCTGGATAAAGAGAGTGCCACTAGCCTTGTGTGAGTTAGATCTTGCGCTACTAACTCTAACTCTTGTTAGAGCATCTGTTGTCAGAACTTGATGTCAATGCTTCAGCATAAAAAAAAAGGTCAGTTCACTCATTTTTTCCATTTTCTTGAAGAAGGAATGGTGGTGCCTCTGTTCCGGGATCTAATTAACCCATACTCTTCACATCCGGTACCTATATTACATATGTGAATGTCCATGCAAATACATAAAGAATAACAAATAACCAGCACATAGGAGAGAGGAGCTTACGACGACGTTTCGGTCCGACTTGGACCATTTACAAAGTCACACTAACAAAAAGGAGAGAAGGAGGGAGTGTACATAGGCCAGCGGACAGGGACGGGACAAGAGAGGTCATAGGAAAGGAACAAAAGTATTGGTAAAGGCAGTAGTAGTAGCAGTAGTAGTAGTGGAGTCAAAGACTAAGAAAGAGGAGCACTCTAAGTGAGCTAGGGGCCCACAAAGGGTAGGAACAAGAACATAGAGTGGGAAAAATAATAGTAATGGACCAAATACCAAAGGCAGAGGAAAGAAAACCCAAAGGTGAACGAGGAAAGACGAAAAGGAAAGAGGGAAAAGGGGAGAAGGGGGAAAAAGCATCACGTTAAGTCACGGGTGTTCTGAAGTTTGGAGCATTTGACAATGTAATGGGAGAGGAAGGCATCTACAGAGACAGCCACGACTAAGATTCATACAAGGGAGGATTCAACCAGACGGCGACAGTGAAAGTTAGACGTGGGGTAGACAGTTTTAGCGGAAGAACAGTTAATAGGATAACTGTGATCTCTGACATGACAGAAAAGAGCATTGTTAGTGTCGGCAAGCCTAACACTACTTTTGTGCTCCCTGAGTCTGTCAGAAAGAGAACAACCAGTTTCTCCAAAGTACTGAAGAAGACAAGAGGAGCAAGAAATAGAGTAGACACCAAGAGAATCTATAGAGGGAGGAGAGGTATGAACTAGATTGGTGTGAAGAGTGTTAGTATGGCGAAGGGCAGATGACACGAAAACGTTGAATGAGGTCAAAGTCAGGAGGACAGAGGTCGGAGAGAGACCTTAGTTTTTTGTTGAAAGTTCTCTTGATGCGATCAAGAGGGATGGAAACGAGAGAACTTTCGACAAAAAACTAAGGACTCTCTCCGACCTCTGTCCTCCTAACTTTGACCTTGTTCAACGTTTTCGTGTCGTCTGCCCCTCTCTACCCTATTTCTATGGCCTTCCCAAAACTCAGAAACTTAATATTCCTCTACGTCCCATCATATCCTCTAGAGGCTCTGTCTCTTATTCTCTTGCTTCTTGGCTGGCCAAAACCCTCACTCCCTTTCTTGGCACTTTTTCTCCTGCCCACCTTCGTCACTCTTAAGACTTCATGGAACGTGTTTGCTCTCTCCCGACCTGTAAGACGCTTAGTCTTGACGTTAAGTCTCTCTTCACTAATGTCCCTCTTGATGATGTCCTTAATTTTCTCAGAGAGAAGGCCAGTGAAAGGTTACTTCATCTCCCTATACTTACTGATGTAGTGATCTTATCCGCCTTTGTGTGGACTCAAATTCCTTTTCCTTCCAAGGCAAATATTATTCTCAAGCTTCGGTGTCGCTATGAGCTCTCCTCTTTCCCTTGTTCTTGCTAATTTCTATATGGAATACTTCGAGACTGTTCTTCTTCCTAATATTGATGTGCGCCCTTCACTCTGGCTCCGCTATGTTGATGACATCTTTGCTCTTTGGCCTCATGACTCTAGTCTCTTTCAACCATTCCTTGCTGCCCTTAATAGTCTTGCCCCTTCCATTAAGTTTAAAGCTGAATGGGAATCTAATTCCTTGCTTCCTTTCCTTGATGCTCATGTCCACAGTTTAGATACAAGTTTTGCCTTTTCCGTGTACCGGAAGCCTATGCAGTGGCATGTACATTCACTACTTTTCTTATCATGCTTCTTCTGTCAAGAAAAGTGCTCTCCACATTTGTGATCTTCAGTTCCTTGAAACAGAAATTTGCTCTCTTTGTAATTCATTTTCCCATCTTGGCTACCCTTCCCATTTCATAGACTCTGCCTTCTCACATGCTAAACGGACTTTCTTCTCTCCCAAACTCTCTACTCCTGGGACCTCTCCTGTCCTTTGCCTTCACTATATTTCCAGTCTTTCTAGTCTCAACAACTCTCCCTTCCTTAGGTATCAAACTTACTTTCTCTCATACTAACACTCTTCGCACCAATCTAGTTCATACCTCTCCTCCCTCTATAGATGCTCCTTGTGTCTACTCTATTTCTTGTTCCTCTTGCCCTCTTCAGTACTTTGGAGAAACTGGTCGTTCTCTTTCTCACAGGCTCAGGGAGCACAAAAGTACATAAGAACATAAGAACGAAGGAACACTGCAGAAGGCCTACTGGCCCATGCGAGGCAGGTCCAAGTCTCCTACCGGCTTAAGCCAATGCACCCGACCTAGTCAGGTCAGGTCACATTGACTTAAGGGAGGAACACGGCAACCGACCTGGTAGCACAAGCTATCAGGTCTAACTCACACCCACCCACATCCACTCATGTATTTATCCAACCTATTTTTAAAGCTACACAACGTTCTGGCCTCTATAACGGTACTTGGGAGTTTGTTCCACTCATCCACAACTCTATTACCAAACCAGTACTTTCCTATATCCTTCCTGAATCTGAATTTTTCCAACTTAAAACCATTGCTGCGAGTCCTCTCTAGGCTAGATATTTTCAGCACACTATTTACATCCCCTTTATTTATTCCTGTCTTCCATTTATACACCTCAATCATATCCCCCCTAATTCTACGTCTTTCTAGAGAGTGCAGATTCAGGGCCCTTAGTCTATCCTCATAGGGAAGGTTTCTGATACATGGGATCAACTTTGTCATCCTCCTTTGTACATTTTCCAGAGAATTTATATCCATTCTGTAATAAGGTGACCAAAACTGTGCAGCATAATCTAAATGAGGCCTAACCAAGGATGTATAGAGTTGAAGAACAACCTGAGGACTCCTATTATTTATGCTTCTTGATATGAAGCCAAGGATTCTATTAGCTTTATTGCGAACACTTATGCACTGTTGTCTTGGTTTCAGATTACTGCTAACCAGAACTCCTAAATCTTTTTCGCAATCCGTAATATTAAGATCTACATTATTTAGTTTATATGTGGCATGGTTATTGTCCTGTCCAACATTTAGAACTTTGCATTTGTCTATATTAAACTGCATCTGCCACTTCTCCGACCACTGCATCAGTCTATTCAAATCTTCCTGGAGTGCTCGAATGTCCTCGTCAGAATGAATTCGACGGCCTATTTTGGTGTCATCGGCAAACTTGCCGATGTCGCTCTTTATGCCCTCATCTATGTCGTTTATGTAGATTGTGAACAGCAGGGGGCCCAACACTGACCCCTGTGGAACACCGCTCGTGACACTTCCCCACTCTGATTTCTCCCCATTTATGCAAATTCTCTGCTGCCTATTTGTCAACCATGCCTCTATCCAGGAAAAAATTTCTCCTCCTATTCCATGTGCTTTAATTTTCCTCAATAGTCTCTGATGTGGGACCCTGTCAAAAGCCTTACTGAAGTCCATATACACAATATCATATTCATTACCATGATCTACCTCCTCAAATACCTTAGTGAAAAAAGTTAATAAATTCGTAAGGCAGGAACGCCCCTTTGTAAAACCAAAAACCAAAAACCAAAAAGTAGTGTTAGGCTTGCCGACACTAACAATGCTCTTTTCTGTCATGTCAGAGATCACAGTCATCCTATTAACTGTTCTTCTGCTGAAACTGTCTACCCTACGTCTAACTTCCACAGTCGCCGTCTGGTTGAATGCTCCTTTATACACAACTTTCCTTGCAAAAATCTTAGTCCTGGCTTCGTCTATGTAAATGCCTTCCTTTCCCATTACATTGTAAAATGCTCCAAACTTCAGAACACCCGTGACTTAGCATGATGCTTATTTCCCCTTCTCCCCTTCTCCCTCTTCCCTTTTCGTCTTTCCTCTTTCACCTTTGGGTTTTCTCTCTTCTTCCTTCGGTATTTGGTCCATTACTAATATATTTTCCCCTCTGTGTTCTTGCTCCTACCTTTTGTCAGCCCCTAGCTCACTTAGGTCGGCCCCTAGCTCACTTAGAGTGCTCCTCTTTCTTAGTCTTTGACTAACTCCACTGCTGCTACTACTGCCTCTACCACTACTTTTCTTTTTTTCCTACGTCCTCTCTTGTCCCGTCATTGTCTACTGTCCTATGTACGCTCCGTCCTTCTCTCCTTTTTGTTAATGTGACTTTGTAAATGGTCCAAGTCGGACCGAAACGTCGTCGTAAGCTCCTCTCTCTCCAATGTGCTGGTTATTTGTGTATTGCTCCAGTCACAGTATTGTACCTTTTTATTATTTACATAAGGAATTCCTACCGTGACAAGAAGTTACCACTGTCCCCTGTCTTTGTGGTTGAGTGGGAAACGAAGGCTTCTTATTTCGATCTCCTAGCGTCATCCGTGGATCCCACGCTGTAGTCGGTGTACTCCAGCCATGTGAGATATATCTTGCTTGTATATCAGCAGACATACTAGCGTTTTCTTGCGATTTAGTTAGACTTGTTATCATTGGAAGGAGCTCCAGTGGCAGTCATTATGGCAGCTCTTGATTCCCTCCTGTCCTGGAACATAACTGAAACATCCGCGCTCTCATATTATAATAATGAATGACGCCTTATTTTATATAATTTCCTTCATTCATGTAACACCTTACTTTTTTTTAACTAGACGTTTAATATTTTCATGACGCTGATAAAGAGAATTTTATAATGTGTTGGTTAGTGAATTTTTCTAATTTGTAGAACCGACAACACGCCGCTTGTTATCACATTCTGATTAGTTGATTTATTCCAACCAACACTCTATACATATTCACCTGTAATATAAAATTAAATCCCCTTGATTTACATAAATTTATTAAAGGACTCATATGAAAATATTCCCAGTTGATCTAAACTAATATAACTATAAGTAATATCACAGTCATATACACTGACAAACCTCCGAAATTTATTATTATTATTATTATTATTATTATTATTATTATTATTATTATTATTATTATTATTATTATTATTATTATTCCTCACTATACTGTGACATCAGCATCAATTTTAACTCACATCATCCCCCAGGCCTAGACAAACTATTATTTAATCAGATTTCTTTTGCTGTTTTTAATATTCTTTTAATTTCAATATTTAAGGTGCATTATAAACATTTTAGAATTCCTCATGTATGTAGTGCGTGTGTACATTTGTCTCAGGAATGTTCCTGGGTCAGTAGTGGCTGGCAAGAACACCGAGTATGCCTTGTTTAACTGTTCTTTTGGAGAACTTGGAGAGAAAGAGGAAGTATACATCCAACTAAGATATCGTTTGGTACAAAGAACGATAGAAAAGGTAAGTTGCCCACGATATTTGTATATTACTAGAAGCATAATTTTCTTCACTGACTGATTCCTGTCAAATAGTTTCTGATATACCTGTTCAGTACTCTGAATCGCCCAATACCCATCCCGCGGGTGCTAGTCAAAATATTACAGAGGTACATAATAGTTGAACAAGGTACAAAGGTAATGAATCATGTAAATAAATTTGCTTACTTGCGTTTATACATGGCTTCAATCATGAACAAATTATAGAGTAATGAGCAGTTCACACGTCTACACCCAGTCACAACTGTAATGAGATATCAGTGCAAATATTAATTGTTGGGTCACGCACACACACCGCGTGCGAGAGTCACGCATTCCGTGCTCCGCGAATATAAGTGTTTCTAAGGGCTAACCACGGGTACTGCAGGGGTCACTAAGTGTGTCAGGGTAGTGAACAATCCTTGAAACGATTTACAACTTGCCCTGAGCCACATAAGTGTGGGGAGTGTGCCACAATCTTATAAGTGAACTAGAAAGTGATACTTGGTGGTGCATTCAGAGTGGGCAGGTCTAGTGTGCTCCAGGCGACGTTGCCACGTGTCACACAAGAAAGATAATAAAGTGAAACAAATGTGTGACCAGTGAAAGAAATACAGTGAATAGGGTACAGTATATATCGAGAAGAAATGGAGGTGGATTTGCACCAGGTGTGGAGAAATTTTCTCCAGGAGGGGGGTATCAGCCCCTTCAGCCCCTTTCAGCCCTGAGGGGCCCAGCCCTCTCAGAAGGGGCAAGCATCTTGTTTACTGCTACAGTGAGTAATTGATCCCAGATGCAGTACCAGTATGCGATGTGTGGTCAAGCAACCGCCGCTCCATGCGGTCCAGTGTTACAAAGTGTAGTTTAATAAAATACAGTCCATCTCTTACCTTAGCAAGACAATTAAGGAAAATCCTGCTCCTACTTTATTACCATGGTAAAGATAGTGTACATTGTTGTCTATGCTTAAGACAGCAAGAATCAAACATTCTGCTTTGCTTCATGAAGGAAGTGGCAAGGAAGAAAAAGTACTAGGTCAGCTTTTCCTTTATGTGCGAGGGGCAGTCACGGTGTAGGACGCTGTGGCATCTTCAGATTACTTTTGACTCTACTGAGAGTCACACTGACGCCAGGATAACCAACAAAGAACGATTTGTGTGTTAGTGTGAACAAAGCGTTTCACAAAGCACAATAAACACTTACAGAGAAGTGTGATCAGCTTCTTCAGTGATAAGATTGTGAACAATGAAGACAAATCTTGTGGAACATAGTGTACCAGTGTGTGTATTCCTAGACTATGGAAGACATGGACATCCAAGAACACTTCAGCTTCTATCAAGTCACTGATACCTGTCGAGGGTGTGAAGAACGCCATAGCTCACGCTACAAGAGCAAGGTAGGTTACGAATTTCTTGTAGTACGGGGGACTGCGCAGTTCTTGAGTCACAAGGAGTTTGTAATCAACCTATAGTCGGCAGTGAGGTGCGGACTTTTGAGTCCACACAAGTACGTAATTTTGTCAGCAATCAGTGAATGAAATATGCTGACATAACACCCCCTAGGGGTAATTTATAATCTTACAAATTATAACTCATTTCAGCCCATTGAGGAATGACTTCGACAGCTTCTCAAGACCTCGTCTGCAGGGGTGGCTGTGCAGGCGATGACCTGTCTTTCTAAGTTAAGTTTTCCCTATATTTAAAATTATATCTTAGCTGGAATCCCTTTTCTCAACAATTTTGTTTTTTTTTCAGTGTGGCCTTTATCCGGTTCAAAGGACCAAAAAACAAAATTGTTGAAAAATGGGATTCCAGCTAAGATATAATTTTAAATATAGGGAAAACTTAACTTAGAAAGATAGCTCATCGCCTGCACAGCCGCCCCTGCAGACGAGGTCTTGAGAAACTGTCGAAGTCATTCCTCAATGGGCTGAAATGAGCTATAATTTGTAAGATTATAAATTACCCCTAGGAGGTGTTATGTCAGCATATTTCATTCACTGATTTCTGACAAAATTACGTACTTGTGTGGACTCAAAAGTCCGCACCTCACTGCCAACTATAGGTTGATTACAAACTCCTTGTGACTCAAGAACTGCTCAGTCCCCCGTACTACAAGAAATTCGTAACCTACCTTGCTCTTGTAGCATGAGCTATGGTGTTTTTCACACCTTCGACAGGTATCGGTGACTTGATAGAAGCTGAAGTGTCCTTGTATGTCCACGTCTTCCATAGTCTAGGAATACGCACACTGGTACACTATGTTCCACAAAATTTGTCTTTATTGTTCACAATCTTATCACTGAAGAAGCTGATCACACTTCTCTGTAAGTGTTTATTGTGTTTTGTGAGACACTTTGTTCACACTAACGCACAGATCGTTCTTTGTTGGTTATCCTGGCGTCAGTGTCACTCTCAGTAGAGTCAAAAGTAATCTGATGACATCACAACGCCCAACGCTGTCACTGCCCCTAGCACATAAAGGAAAAACTGACCTAGTACTTTTTCTTCCTTGCCACTTCCTCCAAGAAGCAAAGCAAAATGTTTGATTCTTGCTGTCTTAAGCATAGACAACAATGTACACTATCTTTACCATGGTAATAAAGTGGGAGCAGGATTTTCCTTAATTGTCCTGCTAAGATAAGAGATGAACTGTCTTTTATTAAACTACACTTTGCAACATTGGACCGCAAGGAGCGTCGACCACGTCGTATACTGGTACTGCATCTGGGATCAATTACTCGCTGTAGCAGTAAACAAGATGTTTGCCCCTTCTGAGATGGCTGGGCCCCTCAGGGCTGAAAGGGGCTGAAGGGACTGATACCCCCCTCTGGAGAAAATTTCTCCACACCAGGACATCACATCGAGCTGAACAATCTACAGGCTGATTCAAGTTTATACCCACACATTCTCACATATACAGACTCACATTCTCTTTCCCCTGCACCCTCTCCCGCCAATCTCCTACTCCTTCCCCTGATCCCCCCTTTCTCTCTGACCCTCCTTCTCCCCACCTCTCTCTCTTTCCCCCTCTCCCTCTCCCATTCTCCACCTTTGCTTCTCCCTCCTCCTTACTCCCCATATTCCCCCTCTATCCTCATCCCCATCCATCTCCCATTTAGCCACTGTCTACAGCTTCCTCCTCTACCCCCTCCCCCACACTCAGACAAACACACTACAAAACAAACACACAGAATTACATAAGTTTTTCATTCTGTGGCAACCAAAACAAAAAAAAATGGTTGACAGAGAGCAGGAAGGAAAACCAAGGGACTGGAGGATGAATCTGCAGAGGAAGATTGGGCAGCAGAGCTCATGAAAAGGGAACATGAATGGGGGAAAGAAGCTAGAAGAACTTAGCATGAGAATGGAAGAGAGGATAGATGCAGAATGCAAGAAGTGGGAGATGCAAGTCACAGCAGCAGAGGCTAGGATACAGAGATTAGAAGAGGAACTGAAAAATCTGAAACAGCCTAAAGAACTAAAGAACAATTTGGGAATGACATCAGAGACTGCTACCTCAGTCACAAACAAGGGGACTGTAGGGAATGAAGGAGTGTAACTGCTTGCAGAAGCCCTATCACACCATTGTGGAGCCTGAGAAAAAGAGAGAATCACATCTGGAGCAATAGAGGGGACTGTAGAAGATGAAAGAGCTAAGCTATATGTGGAGGCCCTAACAGACCACAACAGAGCCCAGGATCCTGCAGGAGAAAGCAAGACTAAGGGACATGCCAGCGTACCGGAAGGTGTATCTAGACCACAAAAGTACACAAGAAATAAAGGCAGAAACTGAGAGAGATGGTACAAAGATGAAAGGAGGAAAGAGAGGTGAAGATGGAGATGGACAGCAGAACCCAGACTCAGGCAGAAGATCAAATACAGCCTCCCTCACAACCACCTACAGAAGACCCCCAACCAGGACAACCTCAATGCAACCAAACATTCTAACCCAAAACAAACATGCCATATCCAATGCCCCCACCCACTTCATTACAAACTCCACCTCCACAGCAACCACCCATAGTTCCTTCTCAGGTCTCCCACTTCCCCAACCCCAACATACCCCCGAAACCACAGTTTTAGAAAATAAGTTGAAGATGTGGTATACAAATGCACATGGGATAACAAATGAGTGTGAGGAGTGGCATGAAAGAATCAAGGAGACATCCCCAGACATAATAGCACTCACAGATACAAAGCTCACCAGGATGATAACAGATGCAATCTTTCCACCTGGATATCAAATCCTCAGGAAAGATAGAGGGAGGAGAGGGGGGGAGGACTTGCGCTGCTCATTAAAAACCAGTGGGGATTTGAGAAAATGGAAGGAATGGATGGCATAGGTGAAAGGGACTACTTAGTAGGAACAATCCAGTCTGAGGGCCATAAGGTGGTAATTGCAGTAATGTACAACCCACCACAGAACTGCAGGAGGCCAAGAGAAGAATACGACAAGAGCAACAGAGCAATGGTCTACACACTTGCAGAGGTGTCCAGAAGTGCTCACATGGGGGAAACAAAGTTGCTAGTCATGGGTGATTTCAATCATAAGGAGAATGACTGGGGAAACCTGGAGCCCCATGGGGGTCTCGAAATATGGAGAGCCAAGGTGATGGATGTAATACTGGAAAGCCTCATGCATCAACATGTAAGAGACACTACAAGAGAGAGAGGTGAGGACGATCTAGCAAGACTGGAACTTGTATTCACCTTGAGTAATGAGGACATCGAGGATATCATATATGAATGGCGCCTAAGGGCTAGTGATCATGTGATTCTGTGCTTTGACTATGTAGTTGAGCTACAGGCGGAAAAACTTGCAGGAATAGGATGGGAAAAACCAAACTACAAAAGTGGGGACTACATAGACATGAGGAACTTCCTGCAAGACGTTCAGTGGGAGAGAGAAATGCGGGAAAATCAGTAAAAGAAATGATGGACTATGTGAAAACAAAATGCAGTGAGGCAGAGGAGAGGTTTGTTCCCAAGGGAAACAGAAACTAGGTGTTCTAGAGAATGTGAAAGGTACAGAAGACAAAGGACCCAGGTGAACAAAGAGATCAGCCGAAGAACCAGAAACGAATATGCACAGATAAGAAGGGAGGCTCAGCGACAATATGAAAATGATAGCATCGAAAGTCAAGTCTGACCCAAAGCTGTTGAATAGCCATATCAGGAGGAAAACAACAGTCAAGGACCAGGTAATCAGACTGAGGAAGGATGATTAAGAGTTCACAAGAAATGACCAAGAGGTATGTGAGGAGCTCAACACACGATTTAAAGAAGTATTTGCAGTGGAAACTGGTAGACCTCAAGGAAATCATAACAGGGAGGTACACCAACAAGTGCTGGATGAGGTACACATAACCGAGGAGGAGGTGAAGAAGCTGCTATGTGAACTTGATACCTCAAAGGCGGTAGGAGCAGATAACATCTCTTCGTGGGTCCTTAGAGAGGGAGCAGAGATGCTGTGTGTGCCACTAACAAAGATCAACACATCCATTGAAACTGGGCAACTCCCTGAGGTATGGAAGATTGCAAATGTTGTCCCGATTTTTAAAAAAGGAGACAGACACAAGGTATTAAACTGCAGACCTGTGTCACTAACGTGTATAGTATGCAAAGCCATGGAGAAGATCATCAAGAGGAGAGTCGTGGAGCGCCTGGAAAGAAACAAGTGTATAATCGACAACCAGCACGGTTTCAGGGAAGGAAAATCCTGTATCACAGACCTACTGGAGTTTTATGACAAGTTTTATGCAAGAAGGCCTTCGACACAGTTCCTCATAAGAGGTTACTGCAAAAGCTAGAGGATCAGGCACACATAACAGAAAAGGCACTACAATGGATCAGAGAATACCTGACAGGGAGGCAACAACGAGTCATGGTACGTGACGAGGTGTCAGAGTGGGCGCCTGTGACAAGCGGGGTTCCTCAGGGGTCAGTCCTAGGACCTGTGCTTTTTTTGGTGTATGTGAATGATATAACGGAAGGGATAGATTCAGAAGTGTCCTTGTTTGCAGATAATGTGAAGTTATTGAGGAGAATTAAATCGGTCGAGGATCAGGCAGGACTACAAAGCGACCTGGACAGGCTACAAGCCTGGTCCAGCAACTGGCTCATGGAATTTAACCTTGCCAAATGCAAAGTCATGAAGATCGAGGAAGGGCAAAGAAGACCGCAGACAGAGTATGGTCTAGTTGGCCAAAAACTGCGAACCTCACTCAAGGAAAAAGACCTTGGCGTGAGTATAACACCGAGCACATCTCCTGAGGTGCACATCAGTGAGATAACTGCTGCAGCGTACGGGCGTTTGGCAAACCTAAGGATAGCGTTCCGATAGTACAAGGGTTGCAACAAGACTAGTCCCAGCGCTAAGGGGATTATCCTACGAAGAAAGGTTAAGGGAAATTGGCCTGACGACACTGGAGGACAGGAGGGTCCGGGGATACATGATAACAACCTATAAAATACTGCGCGGAATAGACAAGGTGGACAAAGACAGGATGTTCCAGAGATGGGACACAAAAACAAGGGGTAACAATTGAAGTTGAAGACTCAGATGAGTCAAAGGGATGTTACGAAGTATTTCTTCAGTCATAGAGTTGTCAGGCAGTGGAACAGCCTAGAAAGTGACGTAGTGGAGGCGGGAACCATACACAGTTTTAAGACGAGGTATAATAAAGCTCATGGAGCAGGGAGAGAGAGGACCCAGTAGCAATCAGTGAAGAGGCGGGGCCAGGAGCTATGACTCGATTCCTGCAACCACAAATAGGTGAGTACAAATAGGTGAGTATACACACACACACACACACACACACACACACACACACACACACACACACACACACACACACACACACACTCTCTCACACACACACACACACACACACACACACACACACACACACACACACACACACACACACACACACACACTCAAACTAGGTAAATGTGACAACTGAAGTTCTGGTCTTCTAGCTGTCTTTATACACATGAAAGTTAAGATTATGTTATATAATTGCTAATTCAGCCTCTTTTGTTGTGGTGGTACCTTCCTCCTCATCATCCATATTCTTGTTAAAAGTCTTAGTCTGAAAAAAGTCAGAGCTCTCTGTCTACTTCTAACTGGATCATTTATGTTCAAATACACAAATGCCCAAATGTCTGCCTCTTTTGTCTATGTAAACCAAATCACGACAATCATAAATTTGGTAAATACCTAGTATTTCTACTGACTGGTTGCTTGTGATTTTTGAAGATGCAATTTCCTGGTTTTTGGGGTAAGAGAGTACCTAGAACATTTTATGATATTTTAAAGTGATAATATAGTTGGGTTAGGTTAGTTAAGATTCATCAGGAAACAAAATCGCTTCCTCATACAGGTCTTACATGATGACCCGCCACTGGAGTTTTTGGTCACCTGACCGATGCTTCCACAGGATTAACCGTCCACCCCTTTAAAAATTGATATTAATTTGATTTTTGATGATATGCAGCGAGTTGATGACATGGAATAACTATGATGTACATATCTTTATCTATTCTCCTGGTTTGCCGGTTAATATTAGGTTATATTTGTTTTATTCAGACCCAGCTGAGTGAACTGTTAATGGTCTCATAATTCAAATAATTGTTTTTTAATTATTTACTTCTCCTGGTCTAGTTTATTGGGGCTATTAATCTTCAGAGATTAATAGCCCAGATCTGTGTATTTCTTCAACATGTTCAGAATATTGGCTCAAGAAACTGTACGTAGGATAATTATTTTAATTATATCTATATCTGCTGTGTCCCGCGGTTACAGCTGGAAGTTGGTAGTGACTTACAGAACATCTCATCACGAGCAGAACTGAAGATGCTGCAGCTTCCTCTCAGTGCTGATCCTCCGTCTGGCTCTTACGTCTCATACATCTTCACTGAGATATCATACAAGGAAGGTTCACCAAAATTTGCGGTAGGTTAAAACATCTTCATTTATTCCTCTTACACTGATTATAAAAATGATAAAATATATTCACAGAATATAAATAAGACACAATATTAGGGTTACGGAATTTTATTCATGAAGACGTTTCGACCGACAAAGACTTTATCAAGAACGATAAACTTGGTGATATAAGTTAATATGAGTCAGACAAGAACTGCAGTGTGACCTTTGTTCTCTCACTACGTAGGTGGCTTGGTGGGTGTACTTAGTCTCAATACTGGGAGGTCTACTTTTGCTTGTTCTCATCGCTCTTATATTGTGGAAGGTAAGGTCACTTTCACTTTGTACTGTGGAAGGTAAGGTCACCTTCACTTTATACTGTGAAAGGTAGGTCACCTTCACTTTATACTGTGGAAGGTAAGGTCACTTTCACTTTATACTGTGGAAGGTAAGGTCACTTTCACTTTGTACTGTGGAAGGTAAGGTCACTTTCACTTTATACTGTGGAAGGTAAGGTCACCTTCACTTTATACTGTGAAAGGTAGGTCACCTTCACTTTATACTGTGGAAGGTAAGGTCACCTTCACTTTATACTGTGGAAGGTAAGGTCACCTTCACTTTATACTGTGGAAGGTAAGGTCACCTTCACTTTATACTGTGGAAGGTAAGGTCACCTTCACTTTATACTGTGGAAGGTAAGGTCACCTTCACTTTATACTGTGGAAGGTAAGGTCACCTTCACTTTATACTGTGGAAGGTAAGGTCACCTTCACTTTATACTGTGGAAGGTAAGGTCACCTTCACTTTATACTGTGGAAGGTAAGGTCACCTTCACTTTATACTGTGGCAGGTAAGGTCACCTTCACTTTATACTGTGGAAGGTAAGGTCACCTTCACTTTATACTGTGGCAGGTAAGGTCACCTTCACTTTATACTGTGGAAGGTAAGGTCACCTTCACTTTATATTGTGGAAGGTAAGGTCACCTTCACTTTATACTGTGGCAGGTAAGGTCACCTTCACTTTATACTGTGGAAGGTAAGGTCACCTTCACTTTATACTGTGGCAGGTAAGGTCACCTTCACTTTATACTGTGGAAGGTAAGGTCACTTTCACTTTATACTGTGGAAGGTAAGGTCACCTTCACTTTATACTGTGGAAGGTAAGGTCACCTTCACTTTATACTGTGGCAGGTAAGGTCACCTTCACTTATACTGTGGAAGGTAAGGTCACTTTCACTTTATACTGTGGAAGGTAAGGTCACCTTCACTTTATACTGTGGAAGGTAAGGTCACCTTCACTTTATACTGTGGAAGGTAAGGTCACCTTCACTTTATACTGTGGAAGGTAAGGTCACCTTCACTTTATACTGTGGAAGGTAAGGTCACCTTCACTTTATACTGTGGAAGGTAAGGTCACCTTCACTTTATACTGTGGAAGGTAAGGTCACCTTCACTTTATACTGTGGAAGGTAAGGTCACCTTCACTTTATACTGTAGAAGGTAAGGTCACCTTCACTTTATACTGTGGAAGGTAAGGTCACCTTCACTTTATACTGTGGCAGGTAAGGTCACCTTCACTTTATACTGTGGAAGGTAAGGTACTTTCACTTTATACTGTGGAAGGTAAGGTCACCTTCACTTTAACTGGGAATGTAAGGTCACATTCACTTATATACTGTGGAAGGTAAGTCACCTCACTTTATACTGTGAAAGGTAGTCACCTTCAACTTATATATACTGTGGAAGGTAAGGTCACCTTCACTTAAACTGTGGAAGGTAAGGTCACCATCACTTTAACTGTGGAAGGTAAGGTCACCTTCACTTTATGCTGTGAAGGTAAGGTCACCTTCACTTTATACTGTGGAGGTAAGGTCACCTTCACTTTATACTGTGGAAGGTAAGGTCACTTTCACTTTATACTGTGGAAGGTAAGGTCACCTTCACTTTATACTGTGGAAGGTAAGGTCACCTTCACTTTATACTGTGGAAGGTAAGGTCACCTTCACTTTATACTGTGGAAGGTAAGGTCACTTTCACTTTATACTGTGGAAGGTAAGGTCACCTTCACTTTATACTGTGGAAGGTAAGGTCACCTTCACTTTATACTGTGGAAGGAAGGTCACCTTCACTTTATACTGTGGAAGGTAAGGTCACCTTCACTTTATACTGTGGAAGGTAAGGTCACTTTCACTTTATACTGTGGAAGGTAAGGTCACCTTCACTTTATACTGTGGAAGGTAAGGTCACCTTCACTTTATACTGTGGAAGGAAGGTCACCTTCACTTTATACTGTGGAAGGTAAGGTCACCTTCACTTTATACTGTGGAAGGTAAGGTCACCTTCACTTTATACTGTGGAAGGTAAGGTCACCTTCACTTTATACTGTGGAAGGTAAGGTCACCTTCACTTTATACTGTGGAAGGTAAGGTCACCTTCACTTTATACTGTGGAAGTAAGGTCACCTTCACTTTATACTGTGGCAGGTAAGGTCACCTTCACTTTATACTGTGGAAGGTAAGGTCACTTCACTTTATACTGTGGAAGGTAAGGTCACCTTCACTTTATACTGTGAAGGTAAGGTCACCTTCACTTAACTGTGAAGGTAAGGTCACCTTCACTTTATACTGTGGAAGGTAAGGTCACCTTCACTTTATACTGTGGAAGGTAAGGTCACCTTCACTTTATACTGTGGAAGGTAAGGTCACCTTCACTTTATACTGTGGAAGGTAAGGTCACCTTCACTTTATACTGTGGAAGGTAAGGTCACCTTCACTTTATACTGTGGAAGGTAAGGTCACCTTCACTTTATACTGTGGAAGGTAAGGTCACCTTCACTTTATACTGTGGAAGGTAAGGTCACCTTCACTTTATACTGTGGAAGGTAAGGTCACCTTCACTTTATACTGTGGAAGGTAAGGTCACCTTCACTTTATACTGTGGAAGGTAAGGTCACCTTCACTTTATACTGTGGAAGGTAAGGTCACCTTCACTTTATACTGTGGAAGGTAAGGTCACCTTCACTTTATACTGTGGAAGGTAAGGTCACCTTCACTTTATACTGTGGAAGGTAAGGTCACCTTCACTTTATACTGTGGAAGGTAAGGTCACCTTCACTTTATACTGTGGAAGGTAAGGTCACCTTCACTTTATACTGTGGAAGGTAAGGTCACCTTCACTTTATACTGTGGAAGGTAAGGTCACCTTAGAGTGAAGGTTTTCTTTCCACATTTACTTGCACTCATAAGTTATATTCGTAAACTCTTATGTAATTAACTTTTCCGATCACCATCCTGGTAATATACATTTTTTTTGCAGAATGATATGCAAAAAAAAAAATAAAAATAGGCTTAAATATTATTTTAAAATATAATAATTAATCAAGTGTTGCTTGAAGCCTGGCCTATTTTACGTACTGTTTATCACAATTGTCGCCAAAATAAACAAAATATTTTGGTCCATTTAAAAACAAAAATCATGTTGAGAGCGTAATAGTATTGGATGGCCGTTTCAGTTTAAAATTTATGTAAATAATACAAAAAATGTTTTAATATACTTTAGAATATGACAAGTTTTGATTTCTTCTCTGTTGGAAAACTTTCTCAGATGAATCACATTAAAATGTAAGGTATTCTTTAATGGGTATTTTTATTTCTTGCAGTGCGGCTTCTTCAAGCGCAACCGTCTTAAGCAACCTGACAACTTGGTAAGTTCTCTTACAACTATTTGTACAGAACTTGGAAAGTTCTCTTAGAACCATTGTACAGAACTTGGAAAGTTCTCTTAGAACCATTGTACAGAACTTGGAAAGTTCTCTTAGAACCATTGTACAGAACTTGGAAAGTTCTCTTAGAACCATTGTACAGAACTTGGAAAGTTCTCGCTGAACCATTATAGTCTTAATAATAAAAACAGTACTAAGTAAAAACATCATTATACTGCAATGTTTAAGTGAGATTATATTTATAATGTTACTGCTTTTTGTGATGTATATATAAAGTTTCTTTATATAACAGCATGAAGGATGACAAGAATTCCTCAGAATACGAACACTATTCTTAATATTCTTGTCTTAGTAATATATATATATATATATATATATATATATATATATATATATTATATATATATATATATATATATATATATATATATATTATGCCACGCCTCTTCACTAGTGGCTACTAGGTCCATTCTCTTCCTGCTCCATGAGCCTTATCATACCTCTTCTTAAAGCTATGTATGGATCCTGCCTCCACTACATCACTTCCCAGATTATTCCACTTTCTGATAACTCTATGACTGAAGAAATACTTCCTAACATCCCTATGATTCATCTGAGTCTTCAACTTCCAACTGTGACCCCTAGTTGCTGTGTCCCATCTCTGGAACATTCTGTCTCTGTCCACCTTGTCGATTCCTCTCAGTATTTTCTATGTTGTTATCATATCCCCTTTAACTCTCATGTCCTCCAGTGTCATCAGGTAGATTTCCTTTAACCTCTCCTCGTAGGACATACCTCTTAGCTCGGGGACTAGTCTGGCTGCAAACTTTTGGGCTTTCTCTAATTTTCTTTCGTGCTTGGCTAGGTGTGGGTTCCAAACTGGTGCTGCATACTCCAATATAGGCCAAACGTACACAGTGTACAGGGTTCTGAACGATTCCTTATTGAGAGGGAATCGTAGTTATAGGTTTGCCAGGCGCCCATATGTTGCAGCAGTTATTTGGCTGATGTGCGCCTCAGAAGATGTGCCCTGTGTTATAATCATCCCAAGATGCTTTTCCTTGAGAAAGGTTTGTAGTTCTGGCCCTCTTGACTGTACTCCATCTGCGGTCTTCTTTGCCCTTCCCAATCTTCATGCCTTTGCACTTAGTGGGCTTGAACTCCAGGAGCCAGTTGCTGACCAGACCTGCAGCCTGTTCAGATCCCTTTGTAGTTCTGCCTCGTTCTCGTCTGATTATATTCATCTCATTAACTTCACATCATCTGCAAACAGGGACACTTCTGAGTATATTCCTTCCTTCATGTCGTTCACAAATAAAAGAAACAACACCGGTCCTAGGACTGACCCCTGTGGAAACCGCTCGTCACAGGCGCCCATTCTGACACCTCACCACGTACCGTGACTCGCTGTTGTCTTCCTGACAGGTATTCGCTGATCCACTGCAGTGTCTTCCCTGTTCTCTCTGCCTGGGCCCTCCAAGTTTTGCACTAATTTCTTGTGTGGAACTGTGTCAAACGCCTTCATACAGTCCAAGAAAACGCAATCTACCCCACCCCTCTCTCTCTTGTCTTACTGCTGTCACCCTGTCATAGAACTCTAGTATGTTTGTGACATAGGATTTCCCGTCCCTAAAATAGTGCTGGTTGTCGTTGATATCTCATGTTGAGCTCCTTACATTGCAGTCGTTCCTTGTGATCTCCCATCCTTCCTTCCTCAGCCTGATTATCTGGTCCCTAACTGTTGTTTTCCTCCTGATGTGGCTGTACAACTGCTTCGGGTCAGATTTGGTTTTCGCTGCTATGTCATTTTCGTATTGTCTTTGGGCCTCCCTTCTTACCTGTTCATATTCATTTCTGGCTCTACGACTACTCTCCTTACTTTCCTGGTTTCTTTGCCTTCTGTACTTCTTCCATTCTCTTAGTTTTGGCCTCTCTGCACCTTTGGGTGAACCAAGGGCTCAACCTGGCTTTCTCGTTATTTCTGTTACCCTTGGGTACAAATCTCTCCTCAGCTTCCTTGCATATTGTGTGTGTGTGTGTGTGGTGTGTGTGTGTGGTGTGTGTGTGTGTGTGTGTGTGTGTGTGTGTGGGGTTGTGTGTGTGTGTGGTGTGTGCGGTGTACGTGTGTGTGTGTGCGGTGTGCGTGTGTGTGTTTGTGCAGTGTGCGTGTGTGTGTGTGTGTGTGCAGCAGCCTGTGTTTGTTAAATATAATTTCATATATGTTCATCTCTGTCTTTTATAGCATGTACTAATGAGTCTACGTGTAACATTTCTAAGGCATCTTACTTTCTTAAATTAACTGTCACTATCATCTTCAGAGCCAAAAAGAGAAAAAGGGAGAAGAAGAGGAGGAGGAGGAGGAGGAAGACAACCCAGTAACTCCTCACACACCAATGTTAAAGATGACTGAGAATGCCAGTGAGGACTTCCAGTTCAGTACAAATTAATCACTCTTGGCGTTACATAACTAACCAGACATGATAGTTACTTCGAGGGAGTCTACCCAAGGTGATACAACTTTTTCAAGTGACTCTGAGAGCTGACAAGTTCCGCCTAAGATGATTAGTTCTGCAGAGAATGTTTATCTCAAGTGTCGAGAGAGTCGCATACAAGAGGAAATTAGTGGTACATAAACTGGATTCACATAATACATAGACACTCTCACTGCTGATCTCGAGTAAGAGAATCTCAAGGTCAGTAGTGAACAAGAACTGGATAATTGTACTGCATTATCTGTATATAATAAAATGCGCAATTACATTTTTTACTTTATCTTTATTGACAGTGATGTAGGTAAATGGTCCAGAGAACCGACACCTTGATGAATTACACACTTGTGCAACACTTGCGTATTTTTATTGTGGAAACATTTCTCCATCCAGTGGTTTTCTCAGTCCAGTACAGAGAAGAATGGTTGAAGATCAGGGGAGTTCGAGGTAATCAGTCCCTCAGTCTGGAGTCAATGTGATTGGTCCATCACATCTTTACAAGATTGATGGGTTGATCACATTGACTCCAGGCTGAGGGACTGATTACTCAGACCCCTTCTGATCTTCAAGCATTCTTCTCTGTACTGGACTGAAGAAGCCACTTTATAGCGAAATGTTTCCACAGCAAAGATACCCAAGTGTTTCACTAGTGTCTATTCACCAACTTTGTCTTCACACTGAACGTGACGACCAGGACGAGATACTTTATAACACAACAACAGCCAGAATGTAAAAGTCTCATTATTAATACATTTTGTTAACTATGAGTGTTGTTATCATCGGTCTCACGATCATCTACTCGGAATTTTTGTAAATCAAAATATGATTTTGAATGAATAATTTACACTAGACATTTTAATTAAGATTTGCGAACATTTGGATGTAAAGATTATCTAGTTAAGTCTCATAACTTTTTATTATAGCATGAAAATATAGTTAATATTTTTGAGAATGATTATGAGGGGTTTCACAATGTGTTTTTTTTTCTGATGTATTGATTTTTTTGCTGATTATAAGGAATTTTTTATGTATCTTAAAAATTTCCTGATTTGAAGAATTTGTAATTAATATAAAGGTTCAATATTTCGACATTTAGGCTAATTTTTTATTATAATAATGTGTAATACAAATTCTTGAAGTTACACAGGATATATACACTGGGAAGTATATTTCTTTCAGAGTATATATGCTGAGTCTTTATTTTAATCCCTATTTAAGAGATTAAAGTATTTATGATTGGTGGTGAAGAAATTAAGTGCAGCTTGAATGACCGTGGTGTAGTCGATAGGCTTCAAACTTCATTAACCAATCTTTGATTTTTTAGAAATAATTAGAATATCATTTATTCATTAGATAGCCATGATATGTTTTGATGACAGTGTGTGCAGGGAATATATGCAGGAGTCTTGTGCAGGGAGTATATGCAGGAGTCTTGTGCAGGGAGTATATGCAGGAGTCTTGTGCAGGGAGTATATGCAGGAGTCTTGTGCAGGGAGTATATGCAGGAGTCTTGTGCAGGAGAAATGCAGGAGTCTTACTTGTGGTTTGATACCGTTGAGATGCTAGGGTGATTTAAGACTGCACTGTACCTGTGAACCACCAGTCAAGGATGACAAGGAATTAACACGTCAAGTTCCCGGAATAGATGGAAACAGATACAGAGAAGCGTATATATATAATAACATTACACCTCGTTACATACACTAGACTGTTTCACACTCTTCCCTAGATTTAGTTTTTGCAGAGACACGTAAAATGTAGCGAATGGACTGTTTTGCAGTTGTAAATAACGTGTAGTAATGTTTCACCTCTTATTCTCAGCGTAACACAAAATTCTCAACGTCGGAAGGCAATTGTATCATTATAAACTGTTGATCATACACTTCCCTCTTCATTCATTTAGGCTGAGCTTCGCCCTCTCTAATATTTCTTGGTGTAATGCCCGTCTGTGCTTTATGTACAACATTATTACTGAGTTAGTTTGGTACTAATAACTAAATCACATGATTTAGATTTGGCTTAAATGTAAATTAATCCTAAGTATTTAATTAATCTTATGTATTTCAACTCTGTATCTGACGGGATGGTGAGGTTCCATTACGTCATTGAGTTCTCGGCTTCTATAAGCCAACTTACTGTCTCTCTCTCTCTCTCTCTCTCTCTCTCTCTCTCTCTCTCTCTCTTTTTTTTTTTTTTTTTTTTTTTTACACAAGGTTTGACAAGGTTAAGGATCCCTAGCTTTATTGACAGCTATATTACAGATTAAGGTTTCCTAACTTTATTGGCAAGCTAAGAGCTGTTACCTACATCAGCTCATTTGAAAGCATTTTTATTGTTATGAGACATACAAGTAGGGAACAGGATGAAGTTGGAGCCATCTGTGGGCCAGCATTTTCATTTGATCAACTGACTTTATCTCGTTGACATCATTATGCTGTACGAATGTGTTCCATACTCGAGTCATCCTGGGTATGTATGATCTCAGATGGAGTGATGTTCTGGAGAAGGGTACAGCCAGAGTGAAGTTGCTGCTTTTCTGCCCGTCTTGTGGCATAAAAGCTTGTTTCCACGCTGTCCTCGAAGTGGATCCAAGTGTGGTATTTTGACAATATTGGCCTTGTACATAACAGTAAGGCCACCCACGTCCCTCCTGTGTTGAAGGCTCTGCTGAAATGACAGATCTATCCAGGATGGGTCCAGGCGAGAGATGAGACGTCTTGCTCTGTTCTCTACTCTGTCAAGCAGTCGCAGATGAGAGGGGGGGCAGGCAAACCAAGAAAGTGGAGCATACTCAAGGTGTGAGCGTACTTGTGCCTCGTACAGGATCTTGCAACCCCTACTGTCAAGCAGATGCGAGATACGGCGAAGTGCTGTAAGCTTCCTGGCTGCCTTGTTTGCAAGATTTACAACATGGTTCTTCATGGTTAGTTTGGAGTCAAATTTCACCCCAAGGATATCAACTTCTTCTCCAGGTGCCAACATCCTCCCATTCATCCTTACTACTGCATCCTTACTACTCTCTCTCTCTCTCTCTCTCTCTCTCTTTCTCTTTCTCAAGGAATCCTAAGTGGTGACTTTCTCATCCCCCTGGTGGCAGCTCTCGCAACGAACTTATTCCAGGCTTGTGGAGGTTTGACCACCAGCCATGAGAAGTCCCGGTTCACTATGGGCTCAGTTACAGCCTGTGGTCAGTTAGACAGCGATCTGCTGATCACAGCGACGCTGCTGACAGACCTCCACAAACCAGTTATATGGATGGTAACGACAGCTCTGTGCAACTGTTATTCTCTATATATGTTTTTGATGTGAGTTGCTCGTGCTGGAATATCTCTAATTTCTATAGTTATTCTTGTTACTGTCGACGTAGTCTCACTTGTACGCAGTTTGTTTGTCTTAACTTTATGAACTTTGATCACTTTTTATGTCACTCAGTTTTCGTTGACTGGATTTTTTTTTCCATCCATCTGTAGGTTATTCTTTTATCACTGTTAACGTAGACGTATATTGGTATTCTGCTAATTTGGTCGTATCATTATTGAAAGTATTTCTTTATTTCATTGTGCTTCTATATTACAAATTTTAATTCCTTATTTTTACTGTTTTAATTATTCTGTCACGTCTATAAATCCTGATAATGCAATGAACCAATTGTTTAATGTTAATCTCACAAATAAAACAAATGTTTAGTTACTTTAGTAATGATCTTTATTCCATAATTACATATATATATATATATATATATAAAATATATATATATTATATATATATATATAATATATATATATATATATATATATATATATATATATATATATATAATATATAATATATATATATATATATATATATATATATATATATAATATATATATATTTCCAAAACAACCACTGTGAAAGAATAGTGAAACGCCAACGCATTCGTGACTTCTCGCATTATCAAGGAACAATAAAAGCAACACATCAAAGGAAGGCATATAAAGGGTCAAGACTACACCTCACCATCACATCCCACAACACAGCAACACCTGACGGGTGACGACACCCGACTCTGTGAAACACACCTAATACTCTACCCAAGAATTAAGATTTGTTATTTGTTTAATGTATCATTAAATTCTTCCCAAATTGTATTAATTATAGATGAATCTAATTTATATAAACCTAAGGAAATATTTATATTATTTTCAAAACTGCTTTTTATGAAACAAGATTCAATTATATTTCTGTCGACCATGGACTTGCTTGATACAACTTTCTCAACTTTTTGAAAATCAATTGGATGGTTAAAATCTCTCACAGAAATAGAGCATTGGAATCTTGTCCAGTTCTAATGCTATATTTATGTTGTTTTAATCTTAGTTCGAGACTTTTACCAGTTTGACCGTAATAAACTTTATCGCAAAATTTACAAGGAATCATATATATATATATATATATATATATATATATAATATATATATATATATATATATATATATATATATATATTATATATATATATATTATATGTATATATATATATATGCAAAACAACCACTCTGAAAGAATAGAGAAATTCCAAGCGCTTTCGTGACTACTCACATTATCAAGGAACTATGAAAGTGAAGCATCCAAGGAAGGTATATAAGGGGTCCGGCCAGCACCTCACTATCAGATCCCACAACGGTTAAACACGTGACGCGCGGCGAGCCAACTTGGATAGGTCCTTTGCAAAACTCACCCCCAAACTATTCTACCCAAGAAAATTTAAAAATTATTTGTCCAGTGTATTATTAAATTCTTCCCAAATTCTATTAATTATAAATGGATCTAATTTATATAAACCAAAGGAAATATTCATATTATTGTCGAAACTGCTTTTTATGAAACAAGATTCAATTATATTCCTGTCGACCATGGACTTGCTAGATACTACTTTCTCAACTTTTTGAAAATCAATTGGATGGTTAAAATCTCTTACATGAATAAATAGAGCATTGGAATCTTGTCCAGTTCTAATTTAATAATACACTGGACAAATAATTTTTAAATTTTCTTGGGTGGAATAGTTTGGGGGTGAGTTTTGCAAAGGACCTATCCAAGTTGGCTCGCCGCGCGTCACGTGTTTATCCGTTGTGGGATCTGATAGTGAGGTGCTGGCCGGACCCCTTATATAGCTTCCTTGGATGCTCACTTTCATAGTTCCTTGATAATGTGAGTAGTCACGAAAGCGCTTGGAATTTCTCTATTCTTTCAGAGTGGTTGTTTTGTATATTTTGAAATCACCTGTTTACTGTGATCTTATTGCATATATATATATATATATATATATTATATTATATATATATTATATATATATATATATATATATATATATATATATATATATATACATAGTCGTGCCGAATAGGCAGAACTTGCGATCTTGGCTTAAATAGCAACGCTCATCTTGCCATATAGGACAAGCGAAAATTTGTGTATGCAATAATTTCGCCAAAATCATTCTGAACCTAACGAAAAAAAATATATTTCACTGTGTTTGTTTAGTATTAAATTATTGTAAACAAATCTAAAATATATTGTTGAGAAATGGCATTACCAGCTAAGTTTAAATATAGGGAAATATAGGGCTGTAAATGAGTTATAATTTGTAAGATTATAAATTACTTCTAGGGGGTGTTATGTCAGCATATTTCATTCACTGATTGCTGACAAACTTACGTGTGTGGACTCAAAGGTCCGCATATCACCGGGGTTATTGATAAGTGACTAACTCACAATTTTATACTCAACTGTGCAGTCAATAGTAGCACATCACGAGTTAGAACACTTACCTGGGTATATGTATCTGACCCGTAATTACACCCAGATATCAGTTGAGTTGATTGAAGAATAGTGTTCTTTGAAGAATGTCGCACTACACTCTGTTGGATCACAACACTCGTTGTTACACTGTTCATCAATAATTGTTCACACAATATCACTGAAGAAGCTGATCACACTTCTCTGTAAGTGTTTATTGTGTTTTGTGAGACACTTTGTTCACACTAACGCACAGATCGTTCTTTGTTGGTTATCCTGGCGTCAGTGTCACTCTCAGTAGAGTCAAAAGTAATCTGAAGACGCCACAGCACCCCACGCCATTACTGCCCCTTGCACAAAGGAAAAGCTGACATAGTACTTTTGCTTCCTTGCCACTTCCTCGATGAAGCAAAGCAGAATGTTTGATTCTTGCTGTCTTAAACATAGACAACAATGTCCACTATCTTTACTATAGTAATAAAGTGGGAGCAGGATTTTCCTTAATTGTCCTGCTAAGGTAAGAGATGTACTGTCTCTTATTAAAATACACCCTGCAACACTGGACTGCTAGGAGCGGCGGTCGCTTGACCACAGGTCGTATACTGGTACTGCATCTGGGATCAATTACTCACTGTAGCAGTAAACAAGACGCTTGCCCCTTCTGAGAGGGCTGGGCCCCTCAGGGCTGAAAGGGGCTGAAGGGGGCTGATACCCCCCCCTGGAGAAAATTTCTCCACATATATTTTGTTGGGTTAGGCTAAAATAAATTGTTCTTGTTATATTAAGGTTATGTAAGTTTTCTAAGATTCTTTTGGAATCTTAGAAAATTTTAGAAAGGACTTAATTTTAAATGAGTTCTTGCTAATTGACCAGTTTTACATATTCGGCACGATATATATTATATATATATATTTATATATATATATATATATATATATTATATATATATATATATATATATATATATATATATATATATATGATGCAGGACAAGCCATGGGGTGGAAATCCTTAGCTCAAGTACTTTCACACTTCTCAGCGCGTCATCAGGAGCTGTGCAATGTTGCAAAGGCAACAACAGGAGAAGTAGGGTAAGTTTTCAGAGTGGTAGTGTAGAGGCACCGGCCAGTTTCTGTCTGAGAGAGGTAAGCGGGAAGCCAACCATACACTGGTCCCCCCTCACACCCCACCCCATTATGGGTCTGGTGGAGTAGGCCTCACAGTTTGCAGATAGTATGAAATAAAACACCAGAAGATAGTTAATAGCCAGCCCTAAGCTTCTAACCGCTGGGATCAGGTCATGTGACGTAAAAAAATTTCATTACAATAGCGGATCATTACATACCTTCATTTACAACTTTCTAACTAATGAAATAGAGATAAAAATCCCTCATTTGTCAACCGGTGTCACA